AGGTGTAATGATTGATTTAATCTTCAGGTCCTTAAAACAAGGTTGGCMATAAGAAAGACAGGACAGTACACSGGTCTTGTTAATGCAGCATCTGTCATATACCACAAAGAAGGRSTACGTAGCTTTTACAGAGGTCTTTTTCCAAGTTTGCTGGGTATTATTCCATATGCTGGCATTGATCTAGCAGTTTATGAGGTMAGAATAAAAATAATGGTGATGAATTTACCAAGGTTATAATTGATTTTCATTAATAAAGTAATGAAGATGGAAAAGTGAAGGAGAATGGGAATGAAAAGGAAAAGAAGAAGAAGAAAGGAATGACAGACATAGAGATGGAGACAGAAAGTGGAGAAGGGAGCTGCAAATACTTGTTTTTGTTTTTTTTTATTCTGCTTCCTTTACTGCAACCATTTCCATCTCATTCTTTCTCATCTCTTTTCTTATCTCATTGATTTCCAATATCTTCCTTTCTCTACTTCCTTCACTTGAAAATAATGAGAATAGATGAAATGATAAAACTATATTGCTTTTGAGTGACTCTGATGATAATCAATTTTGCAGACATTAAAAAACTTCTATCTTGGATACCACAAAAATGAATCAGCAGATCCTGGAGTGTTAGTATTGTTAGCATGTGGYACAGCCTCCAGTACWTGTGGACAACTTGCAAGCTATCCTCTTTCATTAGTAAGAACCAAGCTACAAGCACAAGGTAAATAAACTCTATAAGTCAGACATGTAGTCTGCTACTGGTAACATTGTAACCCAGTACAACCTGCCTCAAAGGTCAGACATGTAGTCTGCTACTGGTAACATTGTAACCCAGTACAACCTGCCTCATGGACGGGTCGTCGGCGTCTAAACCGGCACCTCCACCAGTCTACACTGGTGAGGAGGGTGGCATGACACCCAGCAGGACTAAAAACAAAACCTGTCAAAGCGCGAATGAGCTTGGTTAAGCCACCGGGCATCATGCAAAAACACTTGTTTATTGTGATGTAAATCTGATTGTTGTACTTTAATTTTTAGTTTGAGATCTTGGGACGGACTGTGCAGCGGCAGCCAGAGGCGCCAACTCAAGCTCACAGTCTACCAAGACTCTCATGTGTTTTGTAGTTGTCATGTAGTTTTAAAGCGCTTAGAACAGAATTGGATAAGCGCTATATAAATAGGATTATATTATTATTATTATATTATAAGTGTCTAAAATATCACTCACTGTCACTTACTTTCCTATAAACATTCACTTTGTTTTCAGCCCGTGAGCGTGGCAAAGGCARTGGAGATAACATGTTTACATTGTTAAGTAGAATATTTCGAGAGGATGGTGTTCGTGGTCTATACCGGGGTCTTGCACCTAACTTTATGAAAGTTGCTCCAGCAGTTAGCATAAGCTACGTTGTTTATGAACATCTGAGAATGGGACTTGGTGTGATATAACCTGTTCTTCAAATTCAAAAGGATTTTATGGTGAGGGAATTTTTTTGCACTCTGAATCCACAACAAGAACAGAATGGATTCCTTTGAGCTGAAAAATTTGAAGACAAGTGAAGATAAAGTCATTCTTGGGAATGCTATGTGGAAAAGATGGTCATGTCAGAAGCATGATGAGAAGACACTGGTACCAAATCAAATGAATTCTAGAGAATTTTGAGAAAGCTGATTTATCAAAATRCTTTTACTAAACATGAAATTGTATTATTTTTCATAACATTTTTAGGAGAA